ACATACTGCATTGAATTTGTATTCCTTCTGCCTTTGCCTAAGACTTTCACAATGCTTTTCTTGAGTAATTTTAAAGAGTAAGTACTGTATTTCATACAACTCTGCTTTTCAAGAGGAATAAATAACAATGACATATTCTTTCTCTTAGATGGCATTGGAGTCAAGAAAGACTATAAACAAGCTTTGAAATATTTTAACTTGGCCTCCCAGGGTGGCCACATTCTGGCTTTTTATAACCTGGCTCAGATGCATGCTACTGGCACTGGAGTGATGCGATCCTGCCATACTGCTGTTGAGGTAAGGTCATCCATTTATAAAGGTCAAATAATACTGATTTGCAAAAGATTGGCTATAACCACATCAGTTTATATAGGACATTTGTCTTAGCTAAATTCCACCAGTGACTGCAGAGTCAAGGCTAAGCCTTGACTGAGGGAAAGTGACACATTAGCATACTCCTTTGTATTTCGTGAGAAAAGTTTTTATTTATGTTGATCTGTCAGATGTGTATTTGCTTTGTTAACTTCAAAGAAAATCAAAAGAATGTAATACAAAGCAAGCATCAGTATTTTATAAGTACCAGATTCTTCATTTAGACCTGAATTGAAGTGTAACAAAAAAGGTAAGATATTAAAGAATAATTCTGAGTAAGCATCTGAATCCTGGTATGTATTTGCTTAGTAACTTGTACCTTAAAGTAGGCCTGTCTGAAGCAGTTGAGTTCATCTATCACGTTTTTCCTGTGAAATGTAAATATTTTGAATAGGCATCAGAATGTTAAAGGTTTACTTCTTGCAAAATCTAAATTTTTGAAGTTTCTGACAACCAGTGTTCTCCTCCTTCCTTTTTCCTCTGCAGTTGTTTAAGAATGTATGTGAACGGGGGCGTTGGTCTGAAAGACTGATGACTGCCTACAACAGCTATAAAGATGGTGACTCAAATTCTGCGGTGGTTCAGTATCTTCTTCTGGCAGAACAAGGCTACGAAGTTGCTCAAAGCAATGCTGCTTTCATACTTGATCAGAGTAAGGATCTGTTTTTGTACTGTAAAGATTTTTTTGGAGTTGGCCTGCAGTAGACCATTTAGTAGAATGCTAGAATGCTTGAAGATGCAATTACATAGCTCTTGTTCAGTTAGAACTTCAGTGAAACTTGTCTTTTTTCCTGCTCTTTACACTGGAAAGCAGTCAGGTTTTCATTTTCACCTCTAAGGATGACTTTCTGGCCTATAAGTTACAATACACCTAATTTCTGACTTAGGGATTTTAAAATGGCATAGGTAGAGAATCTTTAGAAACTTGCACAGTGCAAGTTTTCTTCCCTACACTTCCTAAACACAGCCTTAAAAGTAGGAATTGCATTAGGTTTACCTTTGGCCTGCACTATGCATACAAGTCTCAGTGTCCTTTGTTCTTTCACTTAAATCTTTTTTCAGCACTTCCTCTTTTTGTAATTTTACTTATACAGCCCGTGTACCAGGGATAAAGAGCTGGACAGTTCGCTCTGTTAGATTTGAAAAAAACTTGTCCCATGTCTCTAACTGGAACTAGGTGTTCAGAACTTGGTTTATTAGAGTTTGAAGTCATAGAGAAACAGTGGAAATACAAGTGACAGTTCTGTCTAGCAACTGCAAAACCCAGTATTTTAAACTTTCTCAGTATCAAATCTAGGTATCATTACCAGCTTTACATGGTGGCTGATACACTAACCTAACATCTTAATTTTCAGGTAATGTTTTTCAAAGCTGCCTGAGGGAATCATCTTTAGATAAGCTACAGTAATGACAGTCTTGACTGGGAGTGCATTCCTGCAAAGAAATGACATTTTTCTCTGGGTTAAAACTCTGATTGTCATTACTCGGATATATCTGCATCTCAATTGGAGATTGATTTAAAATTATTTACTACACTTTATACAGAAAATCTGTATGTCAACTGTGACATAGTACAGCTAAAACCGTAATTACAGTAGAAGTTAATGTTACAAATCCTTTGAACTGTCTGAACTCTAATAGTTCAGGAACCTTCAAATTAGGACGTGGACAACTTTTGAAGTAGCAGAAGCACTGCTGTGTAAAGCATGCAGTTTCTGGTTGGGTAATGAGTTTGAGCCTTTGTTTTACTCACTAGTCCTGGGTTTTAGATGGCCAAACTAAAACAGGTTATACTTTAGACTTGTGTTTCAGTGCACCTTTGTCAAAGTCCAAATTATGTGCTCTTGAGACTTACATCTTCTGTCATTCCTCAAGTATGTATCAGCAGGAATGGGAGAGACACATGGTAACCCATAGATGAAATTATATCTTTTGTTTCTATCTATTGTGTGGGCAGATAAATGGAAAGGCCATATGAATGAAAGGTGTTTTTATAAGTTTCAGATGAATCTTGTTTCTGCTCTAACACACATTGCTTCAAGTTTTTGATTGATTTCAGGAGACTGAATTATAAGCATGGGAGTTATTTTGTGGTTGTGTGTTCATATACTATGATTCTATTTAACTGAATTATTTCTTCTCTAGAAGAAGCTAGCATAGTAGGAGAAAATGAAACCTATCCTCGAGCTTTGCTTCACTGGAATAGAGCAGCTTCTCAAGGTATGCTTATACCTCACAATTCCAATCAATTTATTTTTATGTTGAGGAATACGTTCAGTGCAGGTAGCTCAGTGTACGGCTGCAGTTCAAGCTGCAAATTGAGCTCTAGGGGACAGGAGCCTGAGGCAATGGGCCAACAAAGGGCACAGGATCCTATGGCACCAGGCAGGGGACCTGACACAGCAGAGGCACAGCAGAAAACATGACCCCAGACTGTGAGGGTATAAAGGCTCAGGGATTACTTTATTCAGGGTTCCTTCTGGATGCACCAACTCTACTTTTTGTGTTACCGTGCCCTTATTAAATTGTTTAAAGGATTCAGGCATCTGAGACTCTGCTCTGGGAAACCCTGAGTCAAACCAGTAAGGAAAGCTTGTCTGGCTGTGGGAGAGTGGCATGAGCAGGGAGTCAGGCAGGGCACCCATCCGCTGCAAAGGGGCCTCGATCCCAGCACTAACAGTCTGTGGTGGGGGGAGTGTGATGGGCAGAGTGCCTTGAGTATAGCCGTTAATGTCTGATGTCATGGGTTTTTATGAAACATGGAAGGAGGAAAAGCTTACCTCCTGTTCAACAAAAGTTGTATTCCACATGGTGTAGTTGATGTTCTTGCTCCATTGTCAGCTATAGTGTCGTTGCAATATGTTTGCAGGTCAGAGCTTTTCTGTGATTCTGAGGATTAAAAGAACTAAAACACAAATATACTGTGTGTTTCTTTAGCCATGTGGAATTATGGAGCAGTGTAAAACAGCATTAGGAATGTTTACACTGACTTTTCTAGAAATACCTGCTTGGAAAGAGAGATGCAAAATCCTAAAGAGTACTTTGTTACTTGTCATCATTTCTAAGAAGTGCAGTTTCCTATTCAAAGTAAGCAAAGCTCAGTAATGAAGAATGCAGTCTTGATGTCCAAGCAACACAAGTTTAAACTCTGGTGCTTGTGATCCTATCCTAAAGTAAGCAAAACTGAACTAAATTATTTAAAGAGCTTGAGGTCTCTAGCTTTCATGTGGGTTCATCTACACTGATGTCTGTCTACTAGTTTTTCATGGCAGAGATTAAGTGTATTATGCAAATGGAGCCTAATTTTCAGAGTTTCATAGCTTTTAGCAGGAAGTTAAGAAACTGAGAGGATGGAATGGTTAAGTGTTCAATTATGAAATGATGATGAGGCATTGTGTTTAAAGTTTTCAGTGTTTCTGTTTTAAAAAGTTGAAGCCTTTAATGGTCACGTAGCAAACAAAAATTTTTTCTGTAGTAAGTGACTATGACTATGAACAACATTATGGCTTTTCAGCTGCTACCACTTATTGGCAATAAAAATGTTGGCAGCATTGCTAGGAAAAGGTCTTATCTGCAAAGAGAAATTGGTTGTGTTTTGTTTAGCTAAATCCAGTTTTTAAAAAAAGAGCTGTTTATGTGAGAAGGGGGAAAGATAAACTGTGCAAACTGTGGAAAGCTATACTAAAGCCCCTATTGCATCTTCATAGGAAACAAAAAGTGTTTCTTTGCTTAGCTATTTTATTTTGTTGTTTCTTGATTTATAGGATATACTGTTGCAAGAATTAAACTTGGAGATTACCATTTTTATGGGTTTGGTACTGATGTTGACTATGAAACTGCATTTATTCACTATCGACTGGCATCAGAACAGCAGCACAGTGCTCAAGCAATGTTTAATCTGGGCTACATGCATGAGAAGGGATTGGGCATCAAGCAGGTGAGTGAGATGTACCCTGATAGTCTGCTTCATTAGAGTACATTTACTAATATTAGATTAAGTCCCTAACCCCTACTACGCTTTGGTTACTTTATAACCACCTAGTGGGAGTTAATATGTCTCCCAATACATTCACCCATGGGAAATGAACAAGTATATCCACTTCACATGTAACTATGTGAGGAAATGGTGTGTAGACAGGGGAAAAACACTAGCCCAAAATTGTAAATATTGGCAAAAAGAGTGCCATATGCCTGAGTAATGCTTTCAAGACTTTGAAGTGTAGTGAAATGAATGCAAATCAACTCCAGCCTAAAAATATTTTAGCGGAAAATTTTTCTCTTCCTCGGAAACACTGGTTAAATTGTTTCCTGTTTCATGACATTTTGAAAACAAGGTACCAAACCATAAGCACCACCAACAATTATTAACTCTGGTTTTTCAAGTCAGGCAAATTACATTGTCTAAAGACAGTGTATCTGTTCTCCTAGGAAGCCTATGGTGTATTGCAAGAGTTAATTAACTTATGCAATCCAGAGCAACATGTTTCTGTATGTTTCAAAATAATGTAATTAGCATTGCATACTGATTTTGAACAGCCTGCTTTACCTTAAGGTATGATGAATTCATATAATTCATGTACAAATTTAGTAGTGACTTGACCTGAAAGTGTAAGAAATTACTTAGTTTTCCTTATTTTCAGTGAGCTTCAACCTTTGGCTTTTGTCTAGATATGCACCTTTTAATTATTCTGTTGGTCTGTTAAAAGACCAATTTTTGCTTCTTTTCCCCTAAATTCTTGGCAAAAGGTCAGAACAGGCCCAATGAGTTGTTCTATTGAATTAAAATACTAAATGTGAATTACTACATCATATTCACATAATGTGTCCATTTTCATACTATTATTTCCACAAGTGTTATGGAACTAAGCTTTCCCGTATCAATGAGCAGAAAATCTTTATGATAATCACAATCAGGATAAAATTATAAAATAAACGTATGGCATCAAGTCCTGGAGATTTCTCTTACTTTGTGTCCAACTTCGAACACTTTCAGAGATAAGTCTTACTCAGGTCTGTACTTCACAGCATTGGGTGAACATAGACAGTTTGTATCCAGGTATCCTAACATTGCATAGTATGTATCTGAAGCAGAGGCAAAAAAAAAACAACAAACAAACACAGAGTCTTAAACTTTTCAGATACATGTATCCTCTGTTCTTGTTACAGTCACCACCTTGTTTCAACTGCCCCAGAAGAGAACACTAATTTAAGCTCTTCCTAAAGTTGCTCTGTTTGTCCTCATGCTTTTACTGTCCTCACTAATGCAAGTTATGTGCATTTTGGATAAGAAGTAATTTGTGTGTTTGTGCAGAACAGTTAGAGGCTGCACTATGCAGGTAATTTTTCAAGTTCTTCAAAACTGAGCTTTGAATTTTCTTAACTTTAGGATATTCATCTTGCAAAGCGATTTTATGACATGGCAGCTGAAGCAAGCCCAGATGCTCAGGTTCCAGTCTTCCTAGCACTTTGCAAACTTGGAGTGATTTATTCCTTGCAGTATGTACGAGAAATCAACGTAAGTAATGCAGAATTAACAGAAAACAGCAAATGTGTTTTCCATTTTTGAAAAAAGCTTCAGTTGTAATCTTACTTAAGTAAAAGTCTTACTCGAGCCTTCTGTAAACTTCAGATAGATGTGGTTTGTGTTGTCAGATATTAAGAAAGTTACTGAAGCTGATATTCCTATGTCTTATTTGTGTAGTTGTGTGAAACTGAAACGTGCACAGCGGTTCTCTTCTGTGCTGCTCTCTCCTTGAAGAGAATTTCCCAAAACTTGTTTGACTATTCTTCCCTATGACCATGTGCTGTCAAAGTTAAGCAGATTTAAATGACGTAATTGCTGTTCAGGAAAAGAGAAACACTTTTTTGTACCCCTAATACTCTTGCTATTTTATATACAGCTATTTTATATTCAACAACCTCACAAGAGTTCTGTTTGATCTCTACGAGGGAAAAAACGTTGTTTGTATCATATACTTTAGCTATTGTGCAGAGTTTTTTACTGAGTGATGGCCCTGGAAAAAAGTATTTGCCTTTGATGAAGGTATTCATCAAATTCTTTCCATATAGTGTCTGAAATATTTTTCAGTAGTCTGCCATCTTACTGCCTTTTTGGATTACTTAATAAATTCAAATATTATGGAAGTTATTGCCATTTAGAACAAATTCAGTTTCAGGCAATTCAGCTAAGTTTGACAAAATGTAGTCTTGAGACTCATGTAGCACTTACAAAGCTAGTATGCAGAACACAGCTTTTCCAAGTTTTTTCCAAGTCTGCTGATGCAGATTTAAATTGGTAGTGACTTTGTAGTATAATCAGATATAATAGTGAAGCATAAAGTGTGTGGCTAATGGTTATGCAAATGGAGTCTGATAAAGAGGCACTTCAGTCAAAACTAGCAATAAGTCACTTTAATGTCTCTGTACCTTACCTCCGCAAATCTCAGCATTGTACCACACAAGTGCCCTGGGTCTTAATGGAGTGTCATTCACGTCAAAACCACAAAGCTACATATTGAAAACTTTTATCTCTAGAACAGAAAATAGAATAGCTCATCCTATATAGCATGCCTCTTAGTCTTACTGGTGTTTGAGTTCCTGGAAGTTAAGAATGTCACTGTGGTACTGTTGTTTCGGAGATGAAAAGAGCTACTGAAATTTTAAAACTGGGGCTTGTACCTGAAAAATGTTACAAGTCAAATTTAATTGCTTCCCATTCGTGTTCTTTGACATGATGATGTGGACTTCTTCTTTCTTAGATGAGGGAGGTATTCTCACATATTGATATGGACCAGCTATTGGGGCCTGAGTGGGACCTCTACCTTATGACTATCATCGCCTTGCTTCTGGGAACAATTATAGCTTACAGACAAAGGCAGCACCAAGCGATTCCCAGACCAGCAGGACTGCGGCCAGCTGTGCCTCAACAAGAACCACCACCAGAGCATCAACCACCGCAATAGCAACAAAAGCCTCAGTGAAAGAACTGGATTTTTCCAAAAGGAACAATTTTCATTGTGATTTAGGACTTCGGATCAACAGTCCCTCCCCCAAAAGAGGCGCAAAAAAGTTAAAAAAAAAAAAAGTTTGAAAGCTGCTTAGAGTGATGCCTTTTTTCAGGGATAAGAAAATTATTTTGAAACTGATTTGAATGTTATTTCAGTGCCAATGGAATAACACTATGGCTTTTTTTGTGGAAACACAAGAGTGCTACTACAAAAATGTTGCCTGCTGTATCTAGTTCCTCTTTATTCAGAGTCCTTTTCATCTCCCAAGAGACAGAAGGCTAGCAGTGGAAGATTTTTGCCTGCTTGATAGCAGTTGCCCTTTATAAAAGTAATAACAATAAATAATTTTATGGCCTATTTAAGTCCAAGAAGCTGAACTACATTCAAACTCTAAAAAGACTGAAGCTGTCATGAACTTATATTCTGATCTACATCCCAAGTATTTCTGTAGTCCTTATTTCATTACTTTTAAGTATTTCTTGCAGTTTGGTCTCTTATGCTATCTTGGATGGTTTAACATAGTTTTGCAGAGTTTATCAATAATCTAAGCCAGCAAACATGCCACTCTCCATTTGTGCTTTTTTGAGTATTTTCCTCCTTTCCCCTTAGACTAGACAGTTCTCAGCAGACAGTATGTAGTCCATGAGTTGGATTGGGACAGATTAGTAAAGTTTATCAGTTGAAAACTGTCCCTACAGTGCCCAGATCTCACATACTTCTAAAACTTTTCAGGAACCTTTGTACTTTGAGATATTTTATGACATAAACCCAAATCGATAGTGTTCCTAAGACATATAAATTTACCCTTATGAAGAGGCTGAGTCTAGATTACAGAAAGTACCAGTATTATTATTGACACTGAAGAAAGGACAGAGTGAGAAATCTCAGTGAGTTAGCTGACTCTTTTTTTGGTTTTAGAGTTGGAAGTTCTCTATTTAATTTTCAACAATCCTGTTAGTGATTTGCACTGCAAGAAAGAAATGTGTGTATCTCATGCATGTGTCTGCTTAGTGCATCTACAAAAAAGGCCACAAAAATGCATACTCTCTACAAAAGGGCATGGGCTTTATACCAGTGATGCTACTCCAAAGCTACATCGGTTGCCAACCTCTTTTGTACCTCATATACATGAGAAAAATGTCTCTGGCTGAGCCATCTTGAGGACCCTTTGTAACAAGAAAATCCAAAGAGAAAGAAGACTAGTGGTTTATGGCTTCTTGATACCACCAGGTCAGTGTAAAGGCCTTTTAATTTGTGTAAAGAACATGACCTGTGGACTGATGATTTAAGATTGCAAGAGGAATCTTCACTTAATGATTTCCAATGAACTATAATTTCCGGGATTAGGGGTGGGAAGCAGTTGCAGAGTAGTTTAGAAGCACGAAGTGTAGAAGTGTCTGTTCTGTTCCTCTTTACCAATGGCAGTTAAATATTTGCTTCTGTACTAGCATTAAACCCTCTGGAAAGTAGTCTCAAAGCTGAATGAAATACAAGAGAGGAGGCTTTAGCTGCTTTCTGACAAAAGCTGTTATGTTTAAAGGGTTAAGGGCTTCCTCTCATGCAAATATTTTTCCAGCAGATTGGCAACAACATATCAATACACTTTATTTAGAATTGAGATTTTGATATGATTTCATACTTGGTATGTTTGTAAGGAGACAGCTGCACATTAGATTTGTAGTTTGGGATGGAAGATAAGCAATGCATTCTTTTGTAAATGGAAATGTCAAGGATGGCTAGTATTAAAGGTACTAGGTAGAACTCAGTACTTCAAAATGCTTATGGTGGTTATGTGAGACAAATCTTTCGTGTTAGTGTGGAGGTTTGCAGCATGTGGTAGAAGAATATCTTGTTAAGTCTTAGTCATCATTAGCAGATGGGACAGTATTGAATTTTTATGTCATGTCTAAAATGTACAGCACTCCCCAGCTGCATTTTTAAGATATCTGTGACTTTTGAACGCTCCCTCTGAAGTATTTTTGCTGCTGTCACTTAATAGCTCTTTTTAGCTTGGCATGAATAAATTGAGGATTATATGGAAAATGTTTTTCAGTTAAATACCATTGGTTGATTGGTATTGGTCTCTTAGGATGTTTAACAGTTTTATTACTGCATAATTAAAATGTTTTGATTTTTCTATTAGAACTAAATTCTAGAAGCTCTGTCCTATTTGCATGAGAATCTCTCATCACTGCTGCTATGTGACAGTCTCATAGATGACTTTCACTGAATCTGATGCATTTTTACATCCCAAGAAATCAGCAGAAGAAAATGATTGATGTTAGCAAGTTATTTCACTTTAAAGAACTGCTTTTTGAAGGAGCAATAAGGAAGTCTTTCTCCTGCTTTTTTCCCTTCCACCAAATTACTACCACTGACTTTTTCAGATGACATTCATTTGAATGCAGTGGTAGAAGAAAAAAGGTACTTACCATAAGTAATGGTGAGTTAACTCAGGGATTAAAGAAATGAATAAACTTTCTAAATCAGTTATCTACACCATGACTTAAGTTTTTGTGACAATCCCTTGCTACTCTGTTCTGAAACTTGCGTTTTGAGGGAGGTATATTTAACTCTTACTAGCAATATGTATCTTGTGCACTCAGTTAATCAAGCATATTTTTCCTAAAGGAGCTGGACTGCTCTGTTTACTGCAGTGAAGTACTTTTCCCTTTTGGTAGCGCACAGATTTGTCTTACAGTTTATATGCAGGAGTACTTTAGAATGCAAACTTGGTTTAAGAGAAGCCTTTCTGGGTGTGTTGAGCATGGTTTGAATGGAAAAGTTGTATTCTTTGTGTGTAGTAACATAGGCCAGAGCCTGCCTATTTGACCTTTCCAGACATATGCTCTTCTTTCCATGCACAGAGAATGGAACTACAGAGCAGTAAGCGTTGGTGGTGGGATTTCTGTATGTAGGAAAACTGGGAAAACATGGAGGGACACATTATTCTGCGTCTCAGATCATTAATCAAAGACACTGTCTGTTCTTGCTGGTTGAAAGAAGTGCTGAATTGTTGAGAAAACAGGATTCTAGTACATCAGTCTGTTGAAACTTGCCCCAGAGCTGTCTGTTGAAATAACTTTCCTTGCTTTATATGGTCCATCACAACATAAATGTAATGGGACACTGTAATAGAAGGTAAGACCTTTGATACAAACATCCTCATGAAACTCTTATGAGACAGTTTTACTCACTTTTTAGTCATCTTCCATAAGTCAGCTGCTCCTACAAAAAAAAAAAAAAAAAAAAAAAAAAGGCAAACTAACACAGAAGCTATCAAATGTTATTCTTTTTGGAGAAGAACATTAAAATGTGGCTTGTGAAAGGACTTTTTAAGACTATGCATTATCTAATTTCCACCTATTATATGCTAGTTTTGGCCTATAAAGGGGGATCACACTCACCTTTGCAAGTTGCTTTCTTTTTACATAGGCAACAATGGACTGAAATTCTATTTTTGTTTCAGAGAATATTAAACTGAAAAGATTTAGTTTGATTTGAACTACTGCAAATGCATATGGCAAATAGCGACTATTGGGGGGAACCCTTTGTTTTTATCAGCTGCAGTTCTTTAAAGGGTCTTGTAGGAGTTTTGTAAATTTATTTTGTATTTAAAATCAGTATAAAGGCTGGTCAAATGTAATATAATTGTGTAAACAAATTCTGTTAATAGAAAGATGTACAGATTCATTTTGTACTGTATCTTTAATCTTGTGAAATAAAGATACCACCTGTGTGGTTACACTCAGTGTTCACAGTGGTTATGATAACAGGATGTGAACCCAAGAGGTGCCAGTGCTGCTGCCACTTATTCTGGTAAGTTTTTCTGAGGGCAGTAGCGCTTCAGGCAGTCCTCTACTTCAGAGAGATAGGTTGCTTACATTTTTAGTTTGTGGTAGCCAACTTTTTGGTCTTTCCATGTAACACAGGTTGCAATTCCAGATTTTTGAAAATAACTTGTGAAGAATAATAATTTTTGTGTTGCAAAACACTGAAATTCTAGCTCTCCAATTCTTCTGTCAGTTATTTTCTGTATTGCCTTTTTTATAATTTGGTTTTCTTCATCCTTCCTCTTCAACACAGGCTGTCCTTTAAAATTAGTTGTTCCACTTCCCATCTGTTATTTATGAATGTGGCTCATTTCTGTACAAGATTCATACTTTTTTTTTTGTTGTTCCTTCTAATTAATTGCTTTTGCTGGGGGGGGGGGGGGGGGGAAGTTATATCTGGTGTGTGTGTTTGCAGCCACAAGGGGGTATTAGACACTAAATAGTGACTTGGACTTGTTAAATACTTGCGGTCTCAAAGGTTGGGAAGGGAGTAACTTCCACGCTTTCAGTCATTGCCATATCACGGGAGAATGTGTGTGTGTATCCAAAAGTGCATGTGTTTATGTACACACACACACACACACACACACACATAAAGAAAGATAAAAAGTTGTTAGTTACAGAAGCTTCAGAAACTTACTTAACAAAATTAAATAATTCAGTGCTCTTATTGTTCTCATGTTTTTAGAGCAAAAGTTCAAAATGAAAAATCAATTTAGCTTCTGAAAAGACCTGGTAAAGAATTACTGTCCCTGGACTGCTAAGAATTTTTTAGTATGTAAATCTATTAACCTATTGTAGTAGTCTGTCTTCCAACATCATTTGAAATGTTATATGTACACATAAAATGTGGACTGGTTGGGCACAGCTTGCAGGACAGTGGCCTCTTTTGCAAAGTTAAATCCATTTTTTCTTAGAGTATAAAATCTTTCCCACTAAAGTGAAACATGTTTAGCAACAGGTGAAGAATTTTTTTAAATCACTTTTTCATTGAGACTATCCGGTGAAATATTTGAGCTATCCAAATAGCTTGAAAACTGTAATTTAAAATATTATACAGTATTTATTTCTTTCCAATCTTACTTTAATGTTTGGTAGGCTCTGGACTTTGCTATATGCTGAAGTTCCATTAATTAATGGCATTTTAGGTACTTCTAAATATTTTTTTATTATTATTATTATTATTTGGAAAGTTTGCCAGATCAATTCAACGACAATTTTAAAGGAATACCTTATTTGCATTACTAGTATTAAAAAGAGATATGTGATAAAAAAGTCAAGCACTTCATAAAGTCATTGTTATAGCTGATGTTAAAACTACTGAAGAAATATGTGGCATGTTCCAGTTTAAGGTTTACAACTTTGCATTATAAAAAGGATACTTCTTGGAGAATCATCCAGCTTTGAATTCAAAGGCTGAAGGCCTGACAATCTACACATTGGAGAGTTTTCCAAAGTATTTCAGTTACCTTTGTTACTGATGCTGTGAGATCAGGACAAATTGAGTCAATTCTTTTCAGTTTGTATTAAGTTTCATCTCTGGTTTTCATCACATTGATGATAGGACTGAACAATCCATTTGGAAGAACAGCCACACCAAAATATGTATGCATTTTATTGTGGAATCCAGTGTTATGTTAAATATTCAGCTGTAATTGGATAACTAAAGGATTTCATATTCTTTTATAAATAATTTTGTGTTTGACTTGGTTGTTGAAATCTGGGAAACATTGCACAGAAGGGAGGGGACTCTTATTAGAGAATTCAGACCCAGTGAGATAAGCGTGGTGATCTCACTGCACGCAGCTGTGTTGGCTTTTTCTGCCCCTTTGCTAAACAAACAACCTTGCTGAGTTCCCTACTAGGAGTCTGATCTTTGTGGAAGGCAAAGGGTTGCAAATAGGTAGGAACTTCTCAGACCAGAGCAGGAAAGAAGGGTTTCTTCATTGATGTAATCTCAACTAACAAAATGAATGTTTTTTAATAACTGCCTGCCTGCTCTGCTATCTTGCATATTCAGTGAATCGCTCTATAAAGACACAAAAACTATTTACCTTTTTTTGCACATATAAAATCTTTTTCGTTTTGAGGCCTAATTACTATGTTTGAGTTTACAAGGCCCCAGAAGTCTACTCTTCACTACCTTTGTCACTCTTAGTTCAGCTCCAAAAGATAGATTGCTATGAAATACTTTTAAATGTTTCTGGTGATACTAGTTCAGCATCACAAAGCACAGATCTCAGAGTAAACAGTTTGCAGATAATCCTCTGGCTGAAAACTGAAAAATTCTATGGTAAATACTGCAAAATAATAGAAAAGCTAAACTAAAAATAAAAGATTTCAAATCTAGTGTCTCATTAATCCCACTTGATACTGTGAGAGATGCTAGAACAAATAATAGTCTTTGTCAATTTAAAATACTGTTCCTTATTTAAACACAACAAATAAAATATTCATTTCCACTCTCTACTTGGGATTTCTAAATGCCAAATCATAAAGACTTTCTTGCAGCTACAGAAAAGGAAGCTTTCAAACTACATAAAATGAGTATGTTTGGTAAGTCTTTAGCTTTCCCTTTGCTGCTTATATTAAGTAATTGATGCTCCCAAATTCCTCCACTAGCCATAACATTCCCGACGTTGCTATTCTGTGAACTCCTTACTTGCTTGAATTGCAGGCACAACATGCTCTGCAGCTACTGATTAATTTGGTTTGCTGTTACTTGGAAAAGCAAGAGTTCCTGGGCATTTCAGCAATTTCTTTCCTTGGGTAAAATGCCCAGTCCATGAATAGGAAATGAAGATGATGGCCTGCCATGCTGGAAGCACTGCCTTTGTCCCAGCACTGTTGGTTTTAAACTGATCTTGCCATAATGGAGATGTACAATTACATAAATCTCTCCATAAAATATATGGTCTTTCAGGCTTCACTGTGTTGGCTGAAGCAGAGTTCTCGTGTGCACAGGGTACAAGGTAAGGGAGCTAAGAAAACAATCTTTTGGCATAACCCATTTATTTTCTCTCGTTCTTTGTCTTGAGTCAATATCAGCTCATGGGCTGAGGAGGATGAATGACAACAGTCCTGTGAGACTGTAATTTGTGATACAGTATAAAGAAATACGTCAAGTGTACAGACTTAATTGTGGAAGCAGGTCAAGATAGGTAAAAAATTATCCAAGTGCTTCTGTAGACTTCTGAATTGAGCCACTGCTGGCATCCCACTGAGGGTTAAATTACATCTCCTCACTTCGTTTGATATGATGAAATGTATTGAATGCTGTTAACTGATGAATTCAATTAAATCTGCAGTAAAACTTGCATGAGAATTGTTGTTTTATATTGGAATAAAATAGCATATTTTCCCAAGATGTAATGAATTATTGATATCTTTATAATGAAATATGCACACCAAAAACCCTAGTTAACTGTCAAGTTTAAAGAACAGAAAGTCAGGCAATGCATATATTCAAAATAAATTAGAATTGGGATCATTCTAACCTTTAGTTACTCAGTACGTGTGTTTATATTTATGTTTTCACATGTTCTAAGCCTGTAGAGTCTCATCATTCATACATTTTCAACATCAGTCAGAATACCAACAATATAATGCTGTATTTTTATGGTTAATATCTACTATTGTCATATTTGAGAAAATGGAAGGGTATAATCTTTATTCTTCAAACCCAAACTATTTGAAGTAGGTAAATAGGCTCTCTGGAGTGTGTTTGATTTCCCCCCCCCTCCTCCCCACTCGGTCCTTACTTTGAGGGGGAATAAATATTTAAGTATATTCTAACTTGTTTTTCAATTGTAGGAACAGCAGTGTTCAACCAGATATTGAATGTATAATTATTTATATGGGGTTATTTTAGTTTTGATTCTCTGATGCAATAGAATATTTCACTGGGAAGGACCTATAATGACCATCAAGTTCAACTGTCTGACCACTGCAGGGCTGACCAAAAATGTTTTCTCTGGGTTTGATTCTGAGAAGACTCAGGAAAACATAAGAACATGTAACAGGTATGTTACCTGCTAATCATTTCATTCTAGATCTGACTAGTAAAAGAATTTCAGAAACAACAAGTAAAAATTTCTCTCAAGTCCAAACAGAATACTACTGCTAAACAGAGATGTCTGATACTGTGGTAATGATGTAGTAACTTTGATGGAATCAATAGTTTAAAACAATCAAATGTTCTAAAACATTTTTATTGCTCTTATTGCTCTCTACCCCTGTCCCCCCCCCATTTTATGAGTATGTTGAATAAAGGAATTTCAATGTACTTAATATCAGAAAAAATAACTGATGATAGAGCCGTCTTAAGCCTGATAATCTGCATAAAAGAAGAAAAAGTACTAAAAAATAATATACTATATGCAAGCCTTTTTCCTTTAATGATTTTTTAAATGAGGAAACATCCATTTCCTCAGCCTTTAAACCATCTAAAGGCTATCAATAAAATTGAATTTGGGGTGAAAAGGGCAGAAGAGATGGAAAGCGTATTTCTGATGTTGAGTCTTAATTACAATCTGATTGATGACATTTCATGCTGTGTGCTTTAGCAGTGCAAGATATGACAGCCACGGCCACTGTTGGAGTGTTTGTGACAGCATTTGTAGCTACCTTTGTGACTACAGGTTTGTAGTTTTGTTATGAATTTACTCTGTAATGGCTCCTGCTTTTGTTCAGAAAACAAACAAGGAAAAAAAGCAAAAGAAGAAATGGGGTTCAGGACCTGACCAAAACCAGGAAAGGACTGATGGCCTTAAAGACTTTTTTTTTCTTAATCAGGATCTCTCATAGGACAGTACATTAGAGGTCAATGATGTTATTCTGGATCCTGGATTTATTAAAGATGGGGAAGATAAAGTGAAACAATTGGAAAACTAATCTGTAGTTCTTTTGGCTC